TGTAACATGGGCTCTTTTGGTCTGATTGAACAGTCTGACCATTCTGCGTGATTGGTTAAGGTTTGATTGCACACGCTGGAAGTCCAGCCATAAGAGCACTGCAACAGTCCAATCTAGAAATGACAAGGAATGAGGAGCTGTGCAGCCTGCTCAGTTAGGAAGTGCTCTTACTGATGTTGTGCAATGCAAACTCTCACGACCGAGCTATGCAATGTGGTTTTGAAGGTCAGATGGTCATCAAAGATTACCCAAGATTCCTGGCTGAAGTGGTTGGGATTATTGTTGATACGCTTAATGGTGAACCATCAGAGTGACTGGGAAGAAGAGAAGTTCTATCTTCGTTATATTGAGTTGCAGGTGATATTTGTGTGCGCATATGTGTATATGTAACAAATAATTGAAGATGTTGTATTATTGAAAATTAATGTGCGCACAAGGTGGTAACGCTGAGAGTGTGCGTACATTTTCAATAATTCAAGGGTCTATAGTCAATTATTTATTGAATACAACGGCATTGTTGAATTCTTGATTCTGATTGGTTGACACACGCTCATGTATCATGTGATCTCTTTACAGAATATGAGATACTGTATCCTTACAGTTTTCTGAATCTAGTCTATAAAGAATGTGCTCTCAGAATAACACAAAACATTTCAAACATCATTTCTTAAGTTAATGCTTGACCAGGTGAGCACAAACATACTTACATCAGTCAGCCACATGAGCACTCCCATCGTCATCAACACTTACAGTTGTGTGAAAATACATTGCATATTGTCTGTTCATATGGCATGTATAACCTTGTGTATAACCTTCAAAAAGTCTTTGTTTACTATTTTCATGCACAATAGCTACCCCAGTGCAATTCTAAAACACATCAAGCACTCACTGAGCTATTTTCATACTGTATAGTGCATTTAATATATATCCTATATAAATAGATATTGTTAGGATTTGCATACTTTGCCTGTGTTTTATCAACAAGTCATGCATTTTGTATACACATATCTGGACCCATCCCAGCAAGTCGTGATCAGTGTTGCAAAAAAAAAAAAAAAAAAGATAGATCCAGACCTGAGATTAATTTCTGTTCTCTATACAGTATCACTTCCTTCTTAATGCAGGTATAAATAATGTTCATACCAATGTGCCATGTAGCCTTTGAGCACCACCTTCAGGCTGGTATGAGCATGCATCAGTATGCATCACATTGAGTGCTTGCTTGTATGTATTTCAAGAGTTAAAAAGCTATTTCATTGTGTAATGTTGTTGAAATGTGTATCTGTCTTTATTAAACTTTGTTATAATGTCTATACATGTGTTTTTTATTCCTAAGTCCTGGTGTCCTCTACAGAGGACATAGCATTAAATAGGAATAAAATATTTATTTTCTTCTTTTCTTTTCTTTCTATACATTTTTTTCTTTCTTTTATCGTTCTCAGGAGGATATTACACATGCATTATTTTGAACACGTGAACTCTTGTGATTTATGCTTAACATTGAAATTGTATTTCCTTTTCGAAATAACCCATTAAACAAGTTGTCATATTTTAGTTCAGTTCGTTGTCTCAAGGACACGCCCACAATTTAAGAAATCTAATTAATATTCATGAGGCGCCACCCAGTGGAACCAAATATTTTAGGAACTAAAAAGATTGTGTGATCACGTCAGATATAGGGTGTGGTTTCTATCTCACCCTGAAAGTTAATTCTCATTTTGGAACCAGCATTTGATCTCAACAGTTTAAGTGAATTTACTTGGATTAACTGTTTAAATGATTCTGTAATAGACCCACCGCGAAACTGAAAGTGAAAGTAGAACTTTCAGTCGCTGGAGAGTTTTGTTTGGTGAGTACTTTTATGAAGGTACGATGCATGTTCTCGTGTAGACTGTTTAAAATGATAAAACTGCAAATATGTTAATGATGTCTGAAGACAATGTAGAAATCACCTGCTTGACCAGTAGCGTATTAATATTAATAGGCATGGAATGTTAGCTGGCACCTTCTGCTGTGTTTATAGTGGCACATCCTGTTTTCAGTGGCATATTCCAGAGGATTGTTGCTTGTACCACTGAAAACTGAACACACACATACTCACTTAAAGGGATAGTTCACCCAAAAATGAAAATGTGATGTTTATCTGCTTACCCCCAGGGCATCCAAGATGTAGGTGACTTTGTTTCTTCAGTAGAACACAAACGAAGATTTTTAACTTTAACCGTTGCAGTCGGTCAGTCGTATAATGCATGGCAATGGTAACAAAATCTATGAGAGTAAAAAAAACATGCACAGACAAATTCAAATTAAACCCTGCGGCTCGTGACGACACATTGATGTCCTAACACACGAAACGATCGGTTTGTGCGAGAAACCGAACAGTATTTATATAATTTTTTACCTCTAATACAGCACTATGTCCAACTGTCTCTGAGCGCGCGCACGGCATCCGGTGCGTGAGGTGTGTACGCGCTCTGGCGTAAATTACGTTAAAGGGTGTGTTGATATCCAGCCGAAGAGCAATCAACCATAACTTCAGGCGAGCAGGCTCAGAAGCTGGGAATATGTGGAAAGTCGCCACTCCCGAATGAGTTCGCGCGAGAGGACGTAATCTTTTAGTTTTAAGTCGGTTTGAACAATCCGGATAAGCGCAAGTAAGTACCATTTTGATTAGCCGTCATACCTACAATGACTGTGCACTGTGTAAACAATGAGTGACGTATACGCGCGAGAGATCACTTCCGGCGCTCGCGTAAACTACGCCAGAGCGCGTACACACCTCACACACCGGATGCCGTGCGCGCGCTCAGAGACAGTTGGACATAGTGGTGTATTAGAGGTAAAAAATTATATAAATACTGTTCGGTTTCTCGCACAAACCGATCGTTTCGTGTCTTAGGACATCAATGTGTTTTTTGTCTGTGGATGTTTTTTTTACTCTCATAGATTTTGTTACCATTGCCATGCATTATACGACTGATAGACTGCAACGTTTGAGTTAAAAATCTTCGTTTGTGTTCTACTGAAGAAACAAAGTCACCTACATCTGGGATGCCCTGGGGGTAAGCAGATAAACATCACATTTTCATTTTTGGGTGAAATATCCCTTTAATAGCACGACGATATTTAATTGATTGAACTGTATATTGCTTTTTAAACATATGCTTTAGGCCTTCTATATTGGAGCTAATTTATACAACAACCATTAGGCTTCTCCAAACTGCAAGGTTTTATATCTGTCTTGTGTCCCGCTGTGTTAATACAGAATGACTTGCAGTAATATGTAGCCTACTTTAACACTGTAACCAATAGAAAATAGTGTTAATTTGTTTTGCACAAACGTCCTAGTTTCTCCAAAATGCATAACTTAACACAACTTTTGCTATTTACAATACATGTGTATTGACAGTTCAGTTGAGCTTTGCCATTTGGATTCAAAAACAGATGTGCCACAAACTGACTGCATTTTTGAAAATTATTATTATTTAATTGACATTATTAAAATAATTGATTAATTATAAAGGATTGCCCCTTTCCCCTTAGTTGTGACGTCAAAATCTGTAAGACTAGCTAGTTCCCTCAAGGTTTTCCCATGGGGTTTCATAATGGAGATTTTTAATTTGTGAGTAAAATAAGGTCTGTGGTAAATGTAACTTGATGAAACTTTGATGCTAAATGTTTGCGGTCATGTTATTCTGATATAGATGTGCCATCAAACGTAGTGGCATGAGCCAGTGGCTTTAATGTGTCATGCACTGTTAAATCTTTAAATTCATATTTATTATTATTGTGATGTTTTTCAGGGGGGAAATCACAATATTTATTTATTTATTTGCTGGGGGTGCACTGACATCACAATTACATATTTTATGACGATGCTCTTTGTTCTAATATTCATGAGTGAAATTTTTACGTTTATATTACAAACCGGATTCCAAAAAAGTTGGGACACTGTACAAATTGTGAATAAAAACAGAATGCAATGATGTGGAAGTTTCAAATTTCAATATTTTATTCAGAATACAACATAGAGGACATATCAAACGTTTAAACTGAGAAAATGTATCATTTTAAGGGAAAAATAAGTTGATTTTAAATTTCATGGCATCAACGCATCTCAAAAAAGTTGTGCGATCAAGGACATCGGTAAAATAATTAATGTGACATCAGGGGTTCAACTGTAATTTTACGAAGCTACGAGAATACTTTTTGTGCACAAAAGAAAACAAAAATAACGACTTTATTCAACAAATCATCTCCTCCGCGTCACCCTGGTGCCATTTTGGAGAGTATCCACTGAACGTAAACAACGTATGCTGTTCTGTGTCAGCTGCATCACGCGGAGACGTTGTTTACGTTCAGATCAAAGCGTAAACAACATAGGTAATGCATCTGCGTGACGCATAAGTACTTTGCATATCTTGCATGCTTTATATCAGACACAGAGATGAAGTAGTTTGGAAGGATAGCTTTTATTCGAATAGCTAGAGAGAGATTGTATTTGTCTGTGTTAGCAACAGAGAGAGTGTGCGTGTGTGAATTGCCTGTGTCTGTGCAGCATCTCTTTAATAACAGAAAAGCTGTTTAGAAAAGTTCACTTCAAAAACATTATCAAACCATTTAAGGTTTTTTGTATGCTTTATTTTATTATTAAATTAGATATTGTGTTGGTCACTGTTCATTCACACATATTTTAATAAGTCTTTTTGCAGTTTAATAATCACAGACTCAAGTCCATATTGTGATTTTTAATTTAATGAATGATTTTGTAGTCCTATTTTACATTTTTTTCAAATTTCATCACTGGGATTCTGCGATTCCATCTGTTTTGCACATTATAGAAATCACAGGGCGATATTGTAGTCCTAATTAATCCCATGCATTTAATGTCCCAATGCAAACATAGGCTGATGTTAATTATCTTGTGCAAATAATTATTCTACTGATTCAAAACTTTGTTTTTCCATTGTGAGCAGTTGTGAGAGGGATTATCAGATCTTTGTGCAGTCCAAATGTGTGGTGTGTAGGGAGGTTCTGAAAGATCCAGTCTCTATAACCTGTGGACACCGTTTCTGCAGACAATGCATTATCTGTTTCTGGGAGAAATTGAGATGAGCAGAATACTTTAATTGTCCTTATTGCAGAAAGAGATCTAGAACACATTCTGCTCTACAAAAAGTCATGGGAGCATCCAGTTCTGCTGACTCTAATACACAAAAAGCCCTACGGGAGGAGACTGGAGACCTGCAGAAAGCAGTAGATGATAAACTTCAGAGAGTCAAAGACAAGCACAAAACCAGAATGAAGAACAAGTACGAGAGTTTATTTGAGGGAATGAAACTCCAAGAGAATGAAACTCTCCTCAACAGGATCTACACACAGCTTTACATCATAGAAGGAGAGCGTGATGGAGTGAATGAAGAACATGAGGTTTTACAGATGGAGAAAACAGCCAGAACACAACTCACACAAGACACTTCCATCTACTGCAATGACATCTTTAAAGCCTCACCTGAACCCGGATGTGAGGAGAAAGACCAAATCAAGACTGTTCTTACTAAAGGCATCGCTGGAATCGGAAAAACCATCTCTGTGCAGAAGTTCATTCTGGACTGGGCCGAGGGAAAAGCCAATCAGGATGTAGATTTCATGTTTTTGCTTCCATTTCGAGAGCTGAACTTGATTCAAGATCATCAATATAGTCTTCAGAGACTTCTGCTGGACTTTCATCCTGAACTTCAAGATCTGGACTCAAAGACTAATGAGGAGTGTAAAATTGTGTTTATCTTTGATGGTTTGGATGAAAGCAGAATCACACTGATGTTTGCAGACACTCAGAAAGTTTGTGATGTGACTGAGACTTCATCAGTGGCTGTGTTGATGTCAAACATCATGCAAGGAGAGCTGCTTCCCTCTGCTCTCATCTGGATCACTTCCAGACCAGCAGCAGCCAATCAGATCCCCTCCAAATACATTAACCGTCTGACAGAAATTCAGGGATTCAATGAGCCTCAGAAGGAGGAATATTTCAGGAAGAGAATCAGTGACCAGCATCAAGCCAATATGATAATCTCACACATTAGAAGAGCAAGAAGCCTCCACATCATGTGCCACATCCCCGTCTTCTGCTGGATCTCTTCAACTGTGCTTCAGAAGCTCCTGAAAGAAGATCTGAGTGCAGAAATCCCCCAAACTCTGACTGAAATGTACATCCACTTTCTGCTGATTCAGATCAACATGAGGAACCAGAAGTATGAAGAGAGAGATCCAGAGAAACTCCTGCAGTCCAACAGAGAAATGATTGTGAAACTTGCCGAAGTGGCTTTCAAACAGCTGATGAAGGGCAATGTGATGTTCTATGAGGAGGACCTGAGTGAGAGCGGTATAGACGTCACTGCTGCCTCAGTGTATTCTGGGATTTGCACTGAGATCTTCAAGGAGGAGTCTGTGATGCATCAGAGGAAAGTGTACAGCTTCATTCATCTGAGCATTCAGGAGTTTCTTGCTGCTTTTCATGTGTTTTACTGCTACCTAAGCTGTACAATGGAGACCCTTAAGGTTTTTGATTCAATGCATTATCTTCATAAAGGAGCAATAGATAAAGCCATTGTGAGTGAGAATGGACATCTGGATCTGTTCCTGCGGTTCCTGCTGGGCATCTCACTGGAGTCCAATCAGAGACTCTTACAGGATCTACTGACACACACAGAGAACAGCTCAGAGAGCATCAGGAGAACCACACAGTACATTAAAGAGAAGATCAGAGATGGACATGGACTCTCCACTGAAAGATCCATCAATCTGTTCCTCTGCCTGCTGGAAGTGAAAGATCAGAGTCTGTCCAGAGAGATTCAGGAGTTTGTGAAATCAGACAAACACTCAGAGAAGAAGCTCTCTCCTGCTCAATGCTCAACAATTGCCTACATGCTTCAGATGTCAGAGGAGCCGCTGGATGAGTTTGATCTGAAGAGATACAACACATCAGATGAGGGTAGAAAAAGATTGATACCAGCTGCGAGCAACTGCACAAAAGCTCTGTGAGTACACCATAGTATTACAATGGGAGATTTTGTAAAAAGAAAAACAATGGCTTTTGTTGTATTTTAAAGTTAATGACGCAGCAACAGGTTATATTAGGCTGCTATCACATTAAGACAGAATGCACCGATCTATTAATTCTACTGACACACGTCTAATTAAGACACAAAAGAAGGGTGTGTGATCAGAAAAATGTATGTCAGAGCGTGTGCATGAAAACATTTGTTTTAACAAAATTTTGTTTAAATGTTTGTCAAGGCTTTAAAATGCATGCAAATAATACATTTGATTAAACAATGAAAAACTGAACTGTCACGTGAATATAACCATGATAAAGATAAAAACAATAATAATCAAAAAGTAGACACTGGACTGCAGCTGATAGATCTAATATTCACATCTAATATTGTCATATTGCACACCCCTACATACATTTTGAGTGAATTATACCTCTAAACCTGTTTGAACTAATAAGGATTAAAAAGAAAACACTGACAGCATATTTACATACTTTCCCCCCTAGATTCGCTGACTGTAGATTCACTGCTCAGTATTGTGAGAGTTTATCATCAGCTCTTGAGTTCTCAAACAATGCCCTGAGAGAGCTGGACCTGACTAATAATGACCTGCAGGATTCAGGAGTGAAGCTGCTCTCTGATGGATTGAAGAGTCCAAACTGTCAGCTGCAGATACTGAGGTATTTATAAAGATTTAGCCGTTTATTAGTTATTGTGTAAGAGCAGTTATCTCAACACTGGCATGTATTAAATAATTTTACATTTAAATTTAGATTTGTTGTTGATATAGGCCTATACACTTTCTAAAAAAAATGTTTAACACTATACCAGGGGCATAATACATTTTTGCATGAAGTGCCATTTTTTGCCATTTTCAGATATCTGACAAATCTGTATTCTACTGTACAATCAAAGAGGGCAGTTCAAACTTTGTATAATAAAATGGCTGTGAAATGTTCCCCCCCCCCCATTGTTCTGTTCAGATTGCCCAGCTGTAATCTCACTGGTCAGTCCTGTGAAACTGTGTCATCAGCTCTACAATCCTCTAACTGTGCCCTGAGAGAGCTGGACTTGAGTAACAATGACCTGCAGGATTCAGGAGTGAAGCTGCTCTCTGATGGACTGAAGAGTCCAAACTGTCAGCTGCAGATACTGAGGTGTGTAAAAAGAGTATTTTGCAGAGATTAGGGTGCAGACTGCTGGGCTGCATCAAAAGAAAGCCAGACCACTGGCATATTACTGTTTAGTTGTGGTGTATGTAATAGGAATTATGCAAGCACTTTTTTTTTAGAATTGTAATATGTTAAATGCTACTAACTTTACTTTTAATTTTAATTAACTTTTAAAAAACTAAAAAAGTAAAACTGACCCAACATTTGAATGGTACCATGTATGCAATAAACAAGCCAGTAAATTCAAAGGCCAAGTTGAATGTGTATGCAGCCCGTTAAAGAAAAGTAAAAATCAGTGATATATGATGCTGTGGGTTTGTTATGATATGGGCATAAGGTATACATTTTATTAGTTCAGTTCTTAAAAAGGTCTTAGCTGAATTAAAATGTATTTGAAAAATCTGAGGGGGTACAATTTGAATGAGCATGTCACGTCTAGTTTAAATCACAGTCACTTACCTGTACTGGTTAAATATCACAACACAGCTCGGTGTCACACAAGCTGATACTGAAAAATATTAAACTAATGCAACATTCATAAATTCTATAAGATTGGGGCACGACGATATGACTGTATCATGACAACAATTTAAAATATACATTACTAGAGATTTTGCTGTAATAATGGCACACTAAAAAGGTTTTTAACTCTTTCCCTGCCAGTGTGGGTTTTTTTTAGTTGCCAGCCACTGCCAGCATTTTTGATCATTTTCACAACATTTTCAACACTTGAATAAGTTTCATTTAAAAAAAAAAATGTGTTTTTGTCAAAGATCAGATTCAGATCAATGATCAAAATAAAGATAAAATTAATTGCTTCCATCAACACCCCCAAAGCTTGCATGGTCATATACCACTTCCTGTATTGACATTTCATTCAGTAACGCTAGGCAGTTTTGATGATTCATGTTTGATGTTCACATTATTTTACATATGTTTCTGCTTCCTGCTTGCTTGTTTGTGATTCTTATTTGCTGTGTTTTGATCCAGACGTTCAATAATCTTTCAGAAGATGTGTAGTAGCACCTCCTACCGTATACCAGTGAAAACATGGAAAGACGGAAAATTCTGTCAATGGTGGTGAAAGAGTTAATCAAGTTATCCAAATTTTGAATTTTTAGGAAAAATGGCTTAAATACTGACCAATAAAGACTGATTACCACTTGGCTTACTGATAGTTGGTCAGACTAGTTCTTAAGACGCTGACTTAACGTAGCATTTAAGTTTATGCAACTGCTCCCTAATTTAAGCTATATTAACCTGATCCCTAATCCTAAAGCATAGGTTTTCAAGATTGCTCCTGGGGACCCACTGTCCTGCAGAGTTTAACTACAAACTTATCAAACATGCCTGATCCAGCTAATCAAGGTCTGCAGGATCACTAGAAAAATCACAGGCCAGGTATGCTAAAGCTGGTTGGAAATAAAACTTGCAGGACAGTTGGTCCCCAGGAGCAGGGTTGAAGACCTAGATTATAAAGCAGGGCTGTCCAAACTTGGTCTTGGAGGGCCGGTGTCCTGCAGAGTTTAGCTCCAACCCTAATCAAACACACCTGAACAAGCTAATTAAGGTCTTTATGATTACTATAAAGGTACAGGGAGGTGAGTTAGATCAAGGTTGAAGCTAAACTATGCAGGAAAATGTATCTCGAGAGCCAGAGTTGAGAACCCATGCCCTACACAAAATTGTGTACCTCATTGGTTTCAAAGGGAAACATCCTGTGGAACATTTATGATCCTTTTTATCCTGTGAGAACACCCAAAATGTCTTTACAAGGTTTTCTTTGTTATAGTAATGTGTTAAATAATTTTTATTTTAATTTACACTGACATAAAGGTATTTTTACGCCCTAAACCCCACTGTACCTAGATCCAGCCCAGTTGTTTGTAGATTATCAGACTGTTGACACTGTGTGTGTGTGTCTGTGTGTAGGTTGTCTGGCTGTATGGTGACAGAGGAAGGCTGTGGTTTTGTGTCTTCAGCTCTGAGTTCAAACCCCTCACACCTGAGAGAGCTGGATCTGAGCTACAATCACCCAGGACAATCAGGAGTCCAGCGACTCAGTGACAAACTGAACGATCCAAACTGCTCACTGCAGACACTCAAGTATGTGAGGCAGTAACCGATGTCATGCTGTGTGTGATGTAGAGACTGAACATGCTTGTGTCTTGAAACAGAAATGTATAGAATACAGTGTACATATTAGAACATTGTCAAGCCTCTGCAATTTGCATTGTGCCTCCGTATTAAAGGCTTCAGGTCTCAGGAGAAACAGGTATCGGGTCTTGTGCAATTAGGTATCTAGTGAAGTGGCTTCAGATGAAACCTATTAAAGGTGCCATAGAATGGAAAGCTGTATTTACCTTGGCATAGTTGAATAATAACAGTTCTGTACATGGAAATGACATACCGTGAGCCTCAAACACCATTGTTTCCTCCTTCTTATGCAAATCTTGTGCATGCAAAAGACCACTGAAAAATAGGCGAATCAGAACATAACACCGACTGTGACGTTACAGTCGGGATCACTAATAGTTACGACCCCAACATTTGCATACACCCGCCAGCCGAACCTGCACAGCCGAATCATCAGAAGTTCTGCAGGTATTGTGAAGAAACAAGCGAGGACAACAGCGAAAATGCAGATCATGGAAATACAGGTGCATCTCAATAAATTAGAATGTTGTGCAAAAGTTTCAGTAATTCAGCTCAAATTGTGAAACTCGTGTATTAAATAAATTCAATGCACACAGACTGAAGTAGTTTAAGTCTTTGGTTCTTTTAATTGTGATGATTTTGGCTCACATTTAACAAAAACCCACCAATTCACTATCTCAACAATCAAGAATAATTTAATTCAGATCGGGGCTTTGGAGCGGGTTCGCGTATCATTTGATTCGGATCGGGACTTCGGAGCGGGTTCAAGAATCATTTGATTCAGATCTTGACCTACTTCAGAGTAGGTATCTTTTTCGGAGCGCGGATCGCTAATCTTTTTTCCTGATTAATTTTTTTAGTAAACCATTCAAAACATAATTAAGGCAATACAGTTATTAAAACTAAACAAAGAAAAAGAAAAAAAGCATAAAAACAAATACTGTAGAAAATTAACCATGGTTTTATTATAGTAAGTGTAGTGACCTTTTTTTTTTTTTTGTATAACCAGTTTTACTACAAATACCATAGTGTAGCAAAACCATGGTTCATTTGTGGTTACAATGGTCTAACTATAGTAACCATGATTTTTTTTTTACCTCAAGAGGACACAGAGATGCAGTTTTCACTTCTTAAGGATTAACAGAACTTTGGATAGTTTCAATATACTTGTTTAGCTCAACTTTGAATAAAGAAAAGAGAGGTTTAGAGCCAGATTATTCTTTATGTTTGTGAAATTTAGCTAGTAGGAAACACAAATTAATTAAGTTATATTTTCCTGTATTTTCTCTTGAGTAGTCAAAAAATTCAAAGAAAACATCTTTAAAACGGAAAGAAAAGTCACTTACAAAATGAGATCGGGAACATTAAAAAAAATCTGACCAAGTTTCTCTGTGTGGGTACATTTCCAAACAATTGAGTGATATCTTCACCAGAAGAGACAAAACAGCAACTCACTTCAATGTCTGACTTATATAATATGATATCTCAATCTATAATAATATAATTATGTCCATAAGCTTTTTGTGAAATTTGGAGTAACTCATTAATCTGTTGTTTGACCTCTTCATATTTAAGGGGAGAACTATAGTTTCCAAAGTCAAACATCGCTTCTTATGATTTTCAAGGGTGTAGAATTTAGACGCTATGACATGTACCAATATCCAGCGACTACTAAATTGTCCCAAGGAATGATTTTGATCAAACAATTACATTTCTGTTGTCTGCCATTATGTCCCTACCAATGCCAAAATCAGACCTACACACTTGTGGTCCATTGATCAGAAATATATTCGATCAAATATGTCCTAGTTCATTATTGTTATTTTCTGAACAGCTGCAGCAGTACTCTGAAAAGACTTTATATATTATTTTTCAACTTTGCAAAAGTGTATCCTGTTGCTGCTAGATGCTTACTTTGTTGTATGCTTTTTAAGTTGTTAATAGGTGGCTAAAAAAATTTACTCTTCACCTAATGTATAAACATAATGAAGCATGAAAGTTCAAGGAGTTTGTTTGGTTGTATGTAGAGTGTTCTTGTTTTCATAAAGCTTCAGTTTCTGGTCTATTGTGTACAGGACACAAGAGGGCAGCATCAGTCCATCATGAGAGCATGGAGATGATTCCTCTGCAGCCCTCTGAGAAGGATGAACTAAACCTGCCATCTGTTGCAAAAAGGACGTTTCTGCATCACAAACAAAAATTAAATGGACCACAAGTCATTTTTTCACACTTAATAAAAGGAATTAAATTATATATATATATAAAATACACTTAGGACAAGTTTTTTTTTTTTTGCCTACGTCAGGGTGGCCATCATGTCAATTTATGCCAAAAAGCCTGATATTTAATTGTAATTTAAATTGAATATGAAATTCCAAAACCTGAGATCAAGTGAAATGTTTATATTTGAATACAATTTAAATAATACATTTGATTTTTACTACTTTTAGCACTGTTACTATAAATTTATATTTACAAGCCTAAATGAATATATATAGGCACGCATGTATGTACAGGTGCATCTTAATAAATTAGAATGTCGTGGAAAAGTTTTATTTCATTTATTTCAGTAATTCAACTCAAATTGTGAAAGTCGTGTATTAAATAAATTCAATGTACACAGACTGAAGTAGTTTAAGTCTTTGGTTCTTTTAATTGTGATGATTTTGGCTCACATTTAACAAAAACCCACCAATTCACTATCTCAACAAATTAGAATACTTCATAAGACCAATAAAAAAACATTTTTAGTGAATTGTTGGCCTTCTGGAAAGTATGTTCATTTACTGTACATGTACTCAATACTTGGTAGGGGCTCCTTTTGCTTTAATTACTGCCTCAATTCGGCGTGGCATGGAGGTGATCAGTTTGTGGCACTGCTGAGGTGGTATGGAAGCCCAGGTTTCTTTGACAGTGGCCTTCAGCTCATCTGCATTTTTTGGTCTCTTGTTTCTCATTTTCCTCTTGACAATACCCCATAGATTCTCTATGGGGTTCAGGTCTGGTGAGTTTGCTGGCCAGTCAAGCACACCAACACCATGGTCATTTAACCAACTTTTGGTGCTTTTGGCAGTGTGGGCAGGTGCCAAATCCTGCTGGAAAATGAAATCAGCATCTTCAAAAAGCTGGTCAGCAGAAGGAAGCATGAAGTGCTCCAAAATTTCTTGGTAAACGGGTGCAGTGACGTTGGTTTTCAAAAAACACAATGGACCAACACCAGCAGATGACATTGCACCCCAAATCATCACAGACTGTGGAAACTTAACATTGGACTTCAAGCAACTTGGGCTATGAGCTTCTCCACCCTTCCTCCAGACTCTAGGACCTTGGTTTCCAAATGAAATACAAAACTTGCTCTCATCTGAAAAGAGGACTTTGGACCACTGGGCAACAGTCCAGTTCTTCTTCTCCTTAGCCCAGGTAAGACGCCTCTGACGTTGTCTGTGGTTCAGGAGTGGCTTAACAAGAGGAATACGACAACTGTAGCCAAATTCCTTGACACGTTTGTGTGTGGTGGCTCTTGATGCCTTGACCGCAGCCTCAGTCCATTCCTTGTGAAGTTCACTCAAATTCTTGAATCGATTTTGCTTGACAATCCTCATAAGGCTGCGGTTCTCTCGGTTGGTTGTGCATCTTTTTCTTCCACACTTTTTCCTTCCACTCAACTTTCTGTTAACATGCTTGGATACAGCACTCTGTGAACAGCCAGCTTCTTTGGCAATTAATGTTTGTGGCTTACCCTCCTTGTGAAGGGTGTCAATGATTGTCTTCTGGACAACTGTCAGATCAGCAGTCTTCCCCATGATTGTGCAGCCTAGTGAACCAAACTGAGAGACCATTTTGAAGGCTCAGGAAACCTTTGCAGGTGTTTTGAGTTGATTAGCTGATTGGCATGTCACCATATTCTAATTTGTTGAGATAGTGAATTGGTGGGTTTTTGTTAAATGTGAGCCAAAATCATCACAATTAAAAGAACCAAAGACTTAAACTACTTCAGTCTGTGTGCATTGAATTTATTTAATACACGAGTTTCACAATTTGAGTTGAATTACTGAAATAAATTAACTTTTCCACGACATTCTTAAATATAATTTATTGAGATACCCCTGCATAGTTGAACTCAAACGATCTATCTATCACCAACCCAGTAGGGCAATCGATGGGTTGGTGTCTGTATTCAGAAAGGCACGGAAAACAAATAACGCATTCTAATAAATAAATCATGAGCCACTAAAGGGACATGGGTAGCTGCTTGCTAGCGGTAGCCTGTTACATCACAGTACATAAGATTTCACTTACCACATAAACAGAGTGAGGAGAGATGACTGAGGATGATGGCGAATGATTTACAGATCCTGAGCACCACTGACAAGCATCTGATCTTGTACAATGTGTGGTAAGTACTGCCGCTGTAGTTTACACAAAGCACGTGCGATCGTACAGTATAGTTACTCAACGATATAACTGCGAGAGACAGTATTGAAATATATATTTTCCCTGTGTTTCCTTCCTGCTGTGTTAGCTACTGAAATGAGCCGCACTGTGAAACAGCCAATCAGAGCAGAGCTCAACATTGAGCCGCACTGCGAAACAGCCAATCAGAGCAGAGCTCAACATTGAGCCGCACTGTGAAACAGCCAATCAGAGCAGAGCTCAACATTATTATTCATGACCCTTCCAAATAAGGTAAAAACAGACCATTTCATTCTAGGGACAAATCCTAGGGTTGTAAATGGACATGTAAAACCGTTTCTGGAGATCTGGAGATTTTACCTAAGCCACATACCTTCTATGTAGATATCAGAGAACAATTTAAAATATTGTATCAATGCATTATATCATTATATGAAACACAATAAGCCACGAAAAAAAGAAAAGAGAAAAAAAACTAAATTAAGTACTCGCATGTTGACTGACACACAGAGTGCACACAGAAAGCTGACTGTAACACGCTTAAATGTTAAATACACAATGTTATGTCTTGTCTTGCTGAGTATTCAGGTAAACAGAGTCATTACGTTTTAAGTGAAAGTAAACAGTTGGGAGAAAATCAGGTGTGTTTCAGTATATTAAATCTGTGCAATAGGGTCTTAAAGTGACCGCAGTCTTATACCTGCTGCTGTTATTAAAATGAATCAAACAACAAAAGAAAAAAAGAAAATCACTAACTCCTCTTGGCTGCATCCTGCTATATAAACATAGCAGGTTTTTCACTAAATGCTAGAATGTTGCATAATATACTTGAGGAGCTAATCCATTATTCCGATTACATAAACACAGTGCAGTGCAGACATGAGCAGTGTTAATAGAACTTTTACTACAGTATGTTGATTTGCCAAACTGTGGAGAAATGCCACAAAGTCTAAGTTATTTTAGAAACCTCAAACCAGTTTATTCTTCAATGTCTGTTTATGCTGACCGTTGTTGATGCAGTTCTTAAAATAAAACTGGATCTTTCACAATGTACTGTAATCTAATAACGTATTTACTCTTAAAAACATTTATTTTGCAGATAAAGCATCATGAACAAAATTGCTAGAAAAGGAGGGTTAATTAGAACAGTCTATGGCTGCATTTGGGGAAAAAAAATATATATGGAAAGTGAGATCATGCTTTTGTATTTTTTTGTGTGTGTTTCTGTTTATAGTGTGGACCGTGGAGCAGAGTTCAGGATTACAGCAGGACTACGGAAGTGTAGGTCTAAACACACACATACGCAGATTGTTGTTTTGTATGTACTTCTCAACTCTCTTTTTGTGTTCAGATGCCTGTGATCTCACACTTGACCCAAACACAGCACACACTCAAGTCATCCTATCTGAGGACAAGAAGATGGCAAAGCATGCGAAAGACCATCAGTCGTATCCTGATCATACAGAGAGATTTGAATGTCTTCAGGTTCTCTGTGGAGAGAGTCTGACTGGACGCTGTTACTGGGAGGCTGAATGGAGCGGGACGGGGACAGAAATATCCGTGTCATATAAAGGAATCAGCAGGAAAGGAGGAAGTGACTGTATGTTTGGATTCAATCAAAAGTCTTGGAATCTGAGTGGCTTTTATAAACGTTTCATTGCCTGTCACGATAATAACAGCACTGATATACCTGCCCTTTCATTTTCATCTAATCGAGTAGGTGTGTATCTGGACTGGTCTGCTGGTACTCTGTCCTTCTACAGCGTCTCTGACGCACACACACTCACACACATACACACATTCAACACCACGTTCACTGAACCCGTCTATGCTGGGTTTGGGGTTTATTATGACTCATCTGTGACTCTGTGTCACATGGTACAACAAGGATGTCAAACATAAGAATATGAAAGAAAAAAAATATATTTACAACATATTTATAACATTCCTACAAAGGTATTAGAAGACGACATTTTCTTACTCCAGCACCCCTGGGGGTCACTTAGTGTTTCAATGAAACTGTAATCTTTAATTATCGCACGGACATAATGTTATTTTATGTTATTTTTCTCAGTTTTGTACATAATCTCTCTGAAAATGCAAGTACTGTACATGCTGTTTTCTAAAGGAATTTACAGACAGCCACTGAATAACTCTGACAGCGAATCCTCATTGTCACCTCACAGGGAAAGCAGGTCAGAAATTAATGGGGGGTTCTGTTATTTTGCCTTCAAAATTCAAGATGTGGTTGTAAAAAATGCCACCTTTATGAGTTCTTGTTTGTATATCTATGTATATATACAGTATATGTATGTAAACCGTTAAGCAATATCAATCGAGCAACAATGCTGTTTTCCTGAATATCAGCACTGCAAATCTGATATTGATTTTTTATTTTTTTTTGTATAATAGACAAAAAGTT